GCCCCCCGGGCACACCCGCCGCCCTATGCCCCCGCCCCGCCGACACCCCGCGGAGTCGGACCCGGCCCTGGGTAGCCGCTGCCGTGGTGGTAGAGACCTTGCAGAGCCCCAAAGTGAAAGGCCGAATTTGGGAGGGGAAAAAACGACCCCCCTAGGTTGTGTGTTTGGCGAGAAAGGCCCAGCGAGCTGTTGGAGAAGTGTTTAGAAACAATGAGATACAAGCGCGTTGTTACTCGTGGGGGAAAGAGACACTTGTAACTTGCCAAAACATTGTGTTTCTTTGTCTCCGGTGGGCTGGAATTATCAATGAGTTAGCAAGTGTTTCAGTTTTTGAACGGCCTTAGTCATCCTTAGTCATATCAGCTGCTGTTCCCATTCTAACTTCTCTAACTTTGATACCACACTTCAGAAGTGAATTAAGTTTGCTGGATTTGTTTTACTGTTGTTGGAACACGTAAAAAAAGCCTCTGAACTGCTGAGCTGCTATAACAATGCTCCGTGGGTTTGTGGGTTCCTTTCCTCTGAGGATGTTTTCTGAAACTGACAAAGATGAGTTCGGCTGTTAGTACACAAAAGCACAAAAACATGTTCCTGTTCACCGGGTTTGACTGTTCTGGAAGTGTTTTAGTTAATTAGTAAGGAAAACACACAGATAGATGTGTTACAGGTGAAACTGTATTTCCCTTTTGCTCCTATTTTTGGTTCTCTAATATCCAATTATCTTCCCTTTCATCTAGTTTTCTCTCTTGAGTTCCTGTAGTGGTAGATCATGCCTAGAGAATACATCAAATCATCTATAATCTTGTGGGGAGTAATTAGTATGTATGCCCTGCAGTGTTTCTGTGTGTACCAGAAAGAACAAAAGTGAAAAATATCCTGATTTTATTCTTTATGTCGGGATATGCTAATGTATTTGTACTAAATACATGGAAAAATCATTCTTGAACTTTTTTCTGAATAGATTCATAACATTAGATAACATAAAACAGCTTAATGAAAATGCAAACGGCTGTTCAGTGTGGGAGAGAAGGGTAACATTAATCAAACAAGTTGCATAAAGTTTTGTTCATTTTTAATTTGCACGTTTTGTAGTTACCTTTATATTATTGTTGTTATTAAGGGAAAATGTCCTGAAGATGGATGGGATGAAAGCACCATTGAGTTGTTTCTTCATGAACTTGCTGTAATGGATAGCAATAACTTCCTGGGCAACTGTGGTGTTGGTGAGAGGGAAGGAAGAGTGGTGTCAGCACTTGTTGCCCGAAGGCATTACAGGTACATATTCCAAATGGCATATTTTACTGTGCCTTGTGATCTAAGACCATGAGAGCATTTGAGAAAAGTAATATGTGACAATTGAGTTGATGCAACTTTGTATATTAAATTTTGGTTAATCACTCATTGAGAAGTCTTGAATGAGGCAAAAATGTTTTGTCAGGGTTATGTCCTGTATGTTGAACTGGTAGAAACTTAAAATGTTGAGTTGACTGTGTGCAAGGGAAGCAGAGATTTTTCCTGTTTTAAAATAATCTGTGCATTGCCTTCTTTTTTTTAAGAACAACCTTTCATCTGTGTATAATTAAAAACTACTGCACATTGTAGTTGTACAGTGTTAGACATTCCTAGTGAATAGCTCTTTGTATTTTGTTATATTTATTAATAGTTCTATAATGTGATTAGCTGATAGGCAAATGAAAGCCCAGTCCATCTGTAGTACATTTTATATGAAGTAAGCAGATCTATAAAGTCAGTAAGAGTTTTTAATAGCTGGTGGCCCTTCTGACACTTAATGCATGTGTTGGATGCCATAATTTTAGACACTTTGCATTAATTTCTTTATAAATATACTTTTTTGTGTATGTATGGAGTTCTTTGTTGAGTACCTTGCTGTGATGTGCTATCCAACAGGAACGACACAAAATGAAGTTTCTCCTTGAAAGATTAACACAAGTGTACTAGAGAGCAGAAATTTAGTAAGTTTTACCACATGGACGTTGAGTTACTTAGGTCTGATGGTGTTCATCAGCCCTACAGTACCATAAGAAAGTAATGGGAGAAAGGCAGAAATGCATCAGTTTTCATATCAGAGTGTCAGCAATACCAAGGTGTCCTCCACTCCACTTATTTCTGCAGCAAATTCTATGAGTAACTTTGGGAGTGATGAAGGCATCAGGAGATGGGTTTCAAGCTGTCTTTGCTTTCAGCTTCATAAATTTCAAGGGTCAGTCTTAAGGAGGATTGCTCCTTAGGAAGGAGTACAGAGAAGGAGTGCAGTAAATGAAAAGTACTGG